TCTGGTTTTGTTGTGGTTTCACCTTCCTCATTTATTATTTTCTTGTTTTGATTTTCTGCTTTTTAAAGAGATTAGATGAAGTTTTATTAATTTTATTTGTCTTTTCAAAGAACTAGCTTTTAATTCTATTTATCATTTATATGTATTTTTGGTGATGGGTTCCAAATTATGTATTTCCCCTCTAATTGTTATTATATTTTCCTTTGTGTTTATTTGAGGTTTGTTTATTTTTTAGTATTCTAATTTTTAAAATATATATTCAGTTCACAAATCCTCTTTTTCCATCTTGTTACCATATGTTTATAAGGATATGATTTCTTCCTGCTGACTGCTTTGCTATTTCTGGAAAAATTTGGTATGTTGTTTCAGCATTTTCATTTTCTTTTACATAATTATTAGTTGTTTCTATGATTTGTTCTTTGACCCATTCATTATTTAGGATTTCATTGTTTGTTGTCCCTGAACCAATTTCTATTTTTATTTATTTTTAATTTAATTTAATTTTTTTGTTACATGTTAAGTTCTGAACTGTCTCCCTTCCTCCTCATCCTACACTACAAAAGGCCACCATTTGACACAGATATACACACACATACATACATATGTGTGTGTATATGTGTGTGCATGTGTCTGTTACTGTATACAGTGTTCTCTTGGTTCACTTCATTTCACTCCTCATTATTTCATGCAAGTCTTTCCATGTTTTTCTAAAATCAACCTGTTCGTCATTTCTTACAGCACAGTACTATTTGATTACAACCATATACCACAACTTGTTTAGCTGTTTCCCAGTTAATGAGTATCCCCTTAATTTCCAGTTCTTTGTCATCCCCAAAGAGAGCTGCTATAAATATTTTAGAACATATAAGTTCTTTTCCTTTTTCCCTGATCACCTTAGGAACAGATCTAATAGTGACATTGCTGGGTCAAAAGGTATACACAGTTTTATTACTCTTTGGGCCAATTCCAAATTGTTCTCCAAAATGGTTGGATCAGTTCACAGTTCTACCAGTGATGTATTAGTGTCCCAATTTTTGCATTTCCCCTCCAACAGTTGTCATTTTCCCTTTCTGTCATTTTAACCAATCTAATAGGTGTGAGATGATATCTCAAAGTGGTTTTAATGTGCATTTCTCTAATCAATAATGATTTAAAGCATTTTTTCATATGACTATATAGCTTTGATTTCTTCATCCAAAAATTGCCTGTTTATATCCTTTCACCATTTATCAGTTGGGGAATGACTCATATTCTTATAAATTTGACATAGTTTTCTATATGTTTGAGCTATGAGACCTTTATCAGAGAAACATCTATAAAATTTCCTCCCAATTTTCTACTTTCTTTCTAATCTTGGCCATATTAGTTTTGTTTGTACAATTCCTTCTTAATTTAATTTAATCAAAATTATCCATTTTTATCTTATAATACTCTCTATCTTTTATTTTTTCATAAATTATTCTCTTATCTATAAGTCTGATATGTAATATATTACATGTTCTTCTAATTTACTTATGATATCTCCCTTTATGTGTAGGTCATATTTTGACCTTATCTTGGTAAATGGTATAAAAAATTGATCTATACCTATCTGCCAGACTGCTTTCTAGTTTTCCCAACAATTTTTTTTTACCAAATAGTGAGTTCTTATCTCAAAAGCTTAAATCTTTATATTTGTCAAACACAAGGTTACTATACTCATTTACTACTGTGTATCATATGTCTACTCCATTCTACTTATCTACCTTTCTGTTTCTTACCCAGTACCAGATGGTTTTGATAATTACTACCTTATAATACAGTTTAAGATCTGGTACTGATAAACCTCCTTCCTTTATATTCTTTTTCATTAATTCCTTTGATATTTTTGACTTTTTGTTCTTCCAAATGAATTTTGCTATTTTTTTTTTTGTAGCTTGATAGAATACATTTTTGGTAATTTAATTGGGATGGCATGAATAAGTAGTTTATGTAGAATTGTAATTTTTATTATATTGGCTCTATCTACCCATGAACAGTAATTGTTTCTCCAGTCATTTAAATCTGACTTTATTTGTATAAAAATGTTTTATAATTATGTTCATGTGTATTTTTATGCTGTCTATGGTTATTTTAAATGGGGTATTTCTTACTCTTCTTGCATGGCTTTGTTGATAATATATAAAAAAATGCTGATGATTTATATGGGTTTATTTTATATCTTGCTACGTTGTTAAAGCTATTAATTGTTTCAACGAGCTTTTTAGTTGCATCTCTAGAATTTTCCAGGTATATCATTATATCAACTGCAAAAAAAGAGAGTTTTATTACCTCATCGCCTATTCTGATTCTTTTGACTTCTTTTTCTTATTGCTATAGCTAGCATTTCTAATACAGTGTTGAACAATATTGGTGATAATGAGCATCCTTGTTTCACTCCTGATCTTATTGGGAAGTCTTCTAGCTTATCCCCATTACAAATAATACTTATTAATGGTTTTAGGTAGACACTTCCTATAATTTTAAGGAAAATCCATTTATACCTATACTTTCAAGAGTTCTTAATAGGAATGAGTGTTGTATTTTGTCAAAAGCTTTTTCCACATCTATTAATAAAACCATATGATTTTATTACTTTTGTTATTGATATAATCAATTATGTTAATAGTTTTCCTTGTGTTAAACCATCCCTGCATTCCTTATATAAATTCCACTTGGTCAGAATGTGTAATCTTTGGGATATATTGTTGTAGTCTCCTAGCTAGTATTTTATTTAGGATTTTGAATCCATATTCATTGGTGAAATTGATCTATAATTTTCTTTCACTGTTTTTGCTGTTTCTGGTTTAGGTATCAGCACCATATTTGTTTCATAAAAGGGGTTTGGTAGGACTCCTTCTTTGCCTGTTATTCCGAATAATTTATTTAATATTAGAATTATTTGATTTTTAAATGTTTGGTAGAATTCACTTCTAAATCTATCTGATCTTGATGGTTGTTTTCTTAGGAAGCTCATTTATGGCCTATTTGATTTCTTTTTTTAAAAATAGGTGTATTTAAATATTCTATTTCCTCTTCTGTTAATCTAGGCAGTTTATATTTTTGTAAGTATTCTTCTATTTCACTTAAGTTGATAAATTTATTGGCATATAATTGGACAAAATAACTCCTAATAATTGCTTTGATTTCACCTTCATTTTTAATACTAGTGATTTGGTTTTCTTCTTTCTTTTTAAAATAATATTTGCCAATGGCTTAACTATTTTTTTTTTTATAAAACCAACCCCTAATTTTATTAATTCAATGGTTTTCTTAAATACAATTTTTATTAATCTCACCTTTAATTTTTGGATTTCCAATGTGGTGTTTAATTGAGGATTTTTAATTTTTTCTTTTTCTAATTTTTTTAATTGCAAACCGAATTCATTGATCTGCCCTTTCTCTATTTTATTCATGCAAGCATTTAGAGATTGATTTAGAGATCTGATTACTGCTTTTGCTGCATTCCATAGATTTTTGTATGTTGTCTCGTTATTATTATTTTCTTTAATAAAATTATTATTTCTATGACTTGTTCTTTAACCCATTAACTCTTTAAGATTAGGTTATTTAGTCTCCAATTAATTTTTAATCTGTGTTTCCAGGGTCCCTTGTTAAATATAAACTTTATTGCATCATGATCTGAAAAGGATGCATTTAATATTTCTGCTTTTCTACATTTAACTATAAAGTTGTTATGCCCTAATATATGATCAGTTTTTGTAAAGGTACCATGTACTTCTGAGGAAAAGGTATATTCTTTTCTATTCCCATTCAGTTCTCCCCAGATAGCTGTCATATCTAGCTTATCTAAAATTCTTTTCATCTTTTTGACTTCTCATTTATTTTTTGATTAGATTTATCTAGTTCTGAGAGGGAAAGTTTGAAGTCCCCCACTATTATAGTTTTGCTATCTATTTCCACCTCTAATTCATTTAGCTTTTCCTTTAAAAATTTGGATGTTATGGCATTTGGCGCATATAGGTTTATTATGGATATTGCTTTATTATCTATGGTACCTTTTAATATAATGTAGTTTCCCTGTTTATCTCTTTTAATTAAATCTATTTTAGCTTTAACTTTGTCTGAGATCATGATTTCTGCCCCTGCCTTTTTTTTGCATCAACTGAAGCTTGATGAATTCTACTTGAGCCCTTTATTTTTACTTCATGTGTATTTCTTACTTTTAAATGTGCTTCTTGTAAACAACATATTGTCAGATTATGGTTTTAATCCATTCTTCTCTCTGTTTCCATTTTATGAGTTCATCCTATTCACATTAAAATTTATAATTGCTAGATGTGTATTTCCCTCCATCCTATTTTTTCTGTTTATCTTTCTCTCCCTTTCCTTTTAGCCTATCTCTCCTCAGATGTCAAATTTACTTCTGACCATTGCCTCCCTTCTAAGAATCTCTGCCTTATCCTCTCCCCTTGCCCTCTTATTTCATAATCTGCACACCCTTATAAGTGGCCCTCCCTTATCCTATCCCCTTGCCTTTCTATTTCTCTGCCAGTTAAAAGACTTTTATATCCTTCCAGATGCATGTTATTCCCTCTTTAACCTAGTTCTGATGAGAATAAGGTTCTAGCACTACCAGCCCTTTGCCCTCTCCTGCCTTCCACGGTAACAGTTCCTCCATTCATGTTTCTTTTGTATAAGATAATTGCTCCCTTTCACTCTTCCTACCCAATTTTATTTTTTAGGATCATCCCATCATACATCATACTCAAGCCTTCTATTTATCTATGCTTTTTCAGACTACCCTAGTAATTAGAACATTCTTGAGTTACAGATAACATTTTCCCATATAAGTAAACAGTTTGGCCTTATTAAATCCTTTATAATTGGTCTGTCATGTTTGCCTTCTTATGTTTCTCCTGATTCTTGTAGGTCAGCTTTTCCATTCGATTCTGGTCTTTTCCTTAATAATACCTGAAAAGCCCTTTAATTCATTAAATAATATATTTTTTTCCTTGCAGGATTACACTCCCATTGAGTGTCTGAAAGTTACACATTATTTGGATTTCAGACAAAGGAACAAGGAAACAGTAGCTGACTGGCCAGCACAAAGACAGTTTCCAGATAAGACACATGGGTTGCTTGAGATGTATAGCAAACGAGGTCCCAGGCTGTGTCTGTGGGCAAGGAGGAGCAAGTACAATCTGGTGAGTGCAGTAGCAGAGTGGGGTGGGCCGTGCTGGCTGTGGTCACTGGTTTCAGTTCCAGGGCAGAGGGGTGAGCTGAAGCTTGCAGCCACTGGAGGGACCACAAGGAGCAAGAACATTTCTGGTGGTAGTGGTGCCCTAGCATCACTGCAGGAGAAAACTCGTGACATAATTTGAATTTTTGGATCTGACCTGGGTTTTTGATCAACATAAACTTGATCCTGAGTTGAACATGAAACAAATCTGGTCTCTAAGCTATAGGTCTGGTTGCTCAGCCATGCAGGGGTAGGTTCAAATAATGCCATAAAGTTTTCCCACAATTTCCCTCTTTTGAGCTTAAAGCCCAACCTTTCTTTGTTAGCAGAAATACATTTACAAAAGCAGATATTTCGATTAAGGTTTAAAATAACTTGAATCAGTGGAAGCATTTCCTTCACTGCTTATCTTATCAAGAGCTTGATAGAATTCTTTTAAGAATTGACAGAGGGGAGTCAGAGGGATCACATTGAATAAATGTCAGGGGTTGTAAGTCAGGGGACTTAGACTTGCATCACTAAATAAGTGTATAACACAATACAGGGAGATTTCCCATACATTGAGAAAATATATATAGTCATAAGTATCACAAAAAGATTTTTTTAAAGACATAATCACATTCCTTCAATGTCATGAAAGTTGAACAAATTTATATATCCCTTAAGGAAACAAATGCAGTTAAACAGATTCTGTAAGTAAACTAAGTCAGGTTATACAATAAACTACATTTAATCAACTTATTTCATCTTGAGTCTCAGTTGTCACATGTAGTTGTCTAGTACTTGGAAACATTTTTCCTTGGAGATTCTGGAATAAGCCTCATTCTCAAGGCAGTTGTGGAGGGGTGTTCCTCTTAAATTTGGCTTTCTAGTAACTAGTTCATGTGGGGAAAACCAGTTTAAACCTTATGGAGATAGCCTTATACTTATCCTTTTGTCATTGTTTTTAATAGAAACATTTAAAAGCATATATATATATATATATATATATATATATATATTATATATATATACACACACACACACACACACACACACATATGTATACATATATACATATATTTGTGTATGTGTGTGTATATATATGTATTCATTTTTAGAGAAAACAATTGCTTTTCTCAGAGGGAAGCTTATTTCTCCATTAAAATTTAAAACTTTTACATCTTTATTATATTACATTTTTGTCCTAATTGTTCCATCCTCCCTTTGAGAATATATTATCTTCAAATCATCCAGAGGGAATAAGATACTTTAAGAACCTAATCCTATACAGATGGTTCTTGCTTTATATAAGTGGACCATTCTGCAGACTTCTACATAAAACAATTTTTATGAAATATGAATATGTCCACTGATCTGGGGAAGGAAGAAAGGGAGGCAGGAAAAGGGGATTGCAGGCCTGTAATAAGGAGAAGGCCGCCACATGGTTTAAGGACACATAGGGGCCAGGGATAGAGAAGCAGGAGCAGGCGGAGGAACATATGGGGGCTGGGCCAGCCATGTGGAGGCCTGGCTGGAACCAAGAGGAAGAACCCATGGTAGGGTGAGAGAGACACATGGGGGCTGGACACAGACACAGACAAGAGAGGATGGGCAACGTGAGGTTGGGGACAGACACTAGGTGACAGAGTATAGACAGATACAAGACAGACATGTGGAGCCAAACATGTGGGCTAGTGGTAGGAGTGGGGCAAAGGTCTCCTTTCTTAGTTCCCAAGATGTCAAGCCAAGCACTGGGTCTGGCAGCAGTGGTGGCAGTCTCTCTAGGTGTTCATCCTTCTGCTTTCAGTTGGAGGTTATTTGGTGGGGGGAGGGGGAGGCTGCAGAGTATTGAGCAGAGGGATAGAATGGAGAGAGAAAACACAGTACTGTACAGTAAAGTTATCATGGGTGTTTTTTTGGAATGTAGATTTCTTTCAGAATTCTTTATGTAAAGTCAAATTTTCATAATGTAAATTTACCTAAAGTGAGAACTGTCTGTACATGAATATAGAACTATTGGTGATCTCAAATTTAGAATAGTAACATTAAAAACAGTAAGGTCTTTCATACTCATATCCCATTAAAGTAACTCAGAGATGTTGAGAATTGCCAACAGCAGGATTAATCATATTTTTCATATATATATATATATATATACATATATATATATATGTAAAACATATGTGTGTATATATCTATATCTGTATATCTGCCCTTGTTATAGAAATTTGCTATGAAAGAAAATGTTCATAACAATATCAAGACTGTCCCTTCAGGGTCACAGAATGAACTGACATAAAGCATCCTTAACTCTGATTCCAGGTAAGAGTCATAGTTAGCCTTTATTTTGGAACACTCAATCATACAGCAAAGTTCCACATTATTCAGAGTACCATAGCCATTATCATAATTAACCAGGGGGAAATTTTCCTTTTCAGAAGGAAATAGTACAATGGTGAAACTGAGTCAAGAGGATCCTATTATTACATTTGCAAGGTTGTTCTCTTTACCTTCTCAAGCATAGACATCCACCTGTAGCAGTTCTTAGACTGTACTCCCTTTGAGCAGCACCTGGCATTTCCCTTAAATGATACATTATTGGCTTAATGATAATTCAGACAATTATACCTGAAATCAGAACTCAGAATAATATCAAATTACAGTCCTAAGAGGTGCTTTTTTTTTCATGTCGTTGCAATAACAGCTAACCATAAACACATATGAGTTTCATCTTATTCATCCTTTTTAGTTCAAATCTATCCTGGGGCAGACATCAATCATGACAAATTAAGAAAATAATCACATTCTGTGATTATACACATATAGTGAATACGTGATAGTTCACTCAAAACCCAGAAAAAACACTGATCTCTATAAGCCTTAAAGCTGATAGATATCTGTATCTGAAGGTTTATATTAACCCCTAAGGCCAAAATAAAAAATTTTAATCTGAGATGTATTGATACTAAGTTGGTTCAAAGATGTAACTTTAATATATACTATTGCAGGTGCACTTTCGTAATTTTCATAAGCAATGGCCAAACAATCTATTAGATAAGAATCAGTCTATAAAATAAACTTGTAAAGCTCTTTACTTTGGCTGTGAGAGATCCTAGTTTCTCCTTCATTATTTTAGAACTTCATAACATTCTTTTAGCAGCTTCCCTCAGAGTTAATTAGATTTATGACCTTGCTAAGGCAGAAGATCCAAGGGACTGAAAATTGGGCAAATCTCCAGAGAACTTCTCAGATATACACAAAGTCTGTGGCACTTTCCCAGACTCTAAGTAATTACATTATTATTATCATCATTATCATTATTATTCATTTTTAAGCCAAATATGTCTAATTAAATACTTGACATTTTTATAAACCATAATGACAATAGTCTCTATCAGTTTTCCAGTGATAAAATTGTATCATCCTCTGGGTATCAATTTTCAAATTAACAGCATCTTGTATAAGAGCACAATGATTTTCCGAAAATCATAGCCCAAGAAAAATTAGAAGCTTAACAGTAACACAAATAGTGTTATGGATTTTTAAGATGTGCCAACAAAACATTTTGCCAGTCATATAACATCAATTCAGTTGAATGAATGTCTAAATCATCTTACATGGAAAATCACTTCATCCATCTATCAATTTGGCATTCTATACTAATCACATTAAAAAACCAGTATAGAATACTTACACTTTTAATTCTTATTCATGCAGTTTCTCCAAACATTAAGTGTATTTTCAGTTAAGGTCAGATCTAACTATAGAGAGTCAAGCATCACAATTATTTCACTTTAAATGGGACCATGTTATAATTCAGTTTTAGGACAAATTCAGTCACATCAACTCAGAATTTACAACCACAAATGCTATCATTTAAAATCTCAATTTTGTCAAGGACCATTAGCTGCCAGCACCTCAAATTATAGAGCCCACTGCCTTCAGTTAGGTCAGTTCCAAAGATTTATGGTGGCAGCCTCCCAATCTCCTTGTCTTCTTCAAACATTTTAGCATTTACAAAATTCTTCAAACTATAACTTGGACATTTATAGCAAATACTATTTTAAATAATATAACAATATAGAATATTATATAATATATTATATAAAATTATATAATAATATAATAAATGAAATATATTTAAATAATACATTTCAGTTACAAATTTAGTCTTGAATTAGTTTATAAATTTCATAAAGTTCATAAATTTGTACGAACTAGGAAAAAGTTTTCCCTTCTTTGCTGGTCTGTCTTTATTTCTGTAACCCCAGCTGATTAGTGCTGAAATGACAGAAAGTATCTTGCAAGTTTTTTTTCTTCTTAGTGAAACCTAATGTCCCAATGAAAGTCTGATGTGGGAGTAAGTCCCTGTTTACTGGGATGGAGGATTTAGCATCAGACTACAGAAACTTGGGATAATTGTTTCAAGTATGAAACTTCATTAATCTTTCCCAGCACTAAACTGTCTGGGTGCAGTTTTTTACATAGCAGTCTTTATGGCTGGCTGCATTTTCTCCTTAGAAATCTTCCAAGGTAACAGAATCTGCAAATACTAGATATGGCACAAGACAAGGTTTTCCTGATAAGCTCATAGAGAAGGTAGAGAGGGAGAAAAAGAAGGGTATTCTACTGTTGGGGTATGAGCATTTGGCTTGGGAAATGTGCCACCCTGGGCAACTGTTTATTTTGACTAGTACTCATACACTGAGCTTGCCTCATTAACCTAGGTCATCCTAAATGAATGAGTGACTGATGTTAGCTGACTTGTTCATCAGGTCATTCAATCAGCTATGGATAAGGGATTCCCTCTTGGCATTTCATGTGGTTCAAATTGCATCCATTGTGTTTGAGTCCTGGATTATAGTTTCATACTTACCATGATATCAGGGCAGCTGTTGCCAGTATAGTCACAGACACAATGGTCACAGGAGGGTTGAGGGAAATACAGGAAAATAAAAAAAGAAGAGAGACAGAGAGAGAAAT